TACAAACAACAAATCTAAGCTTCATCCCCAAAAATAAAATTTGCATTCAGCAACATGAATCATATTTCTCTCGACTCCATTCCACTCACTTACGTATTCAATAATACTTCTAGCAATGGTCCACTTTCGAACATCAAGGGCGAATAGTGGAATCAACTACAACTTTTTAGATTCTCAATTTATACTTTGTGAAGGCTTACCGTTTCTGAAGGAAGCTTCGTTCCTTGTTCATCGCTATCGGAAAAGCTTGTATTTGATTCCGACGCCATAAACACAGAGGTTTCGAGGTCAATGGGCCAATTAGGATTTTGATTTTGAAGCCATGAGGCTATGTTTAATAGCACTTGTTTTCCATGGCAAATTTTTCATCAAACAACCATAAATCATGGAAACTGGAATTCAAACAACAGTAAATCATGGAAAATGGAAAATTTCCACAGAACCCCTATTTTCCATGATTTATGGTTGTTTGATGAAAAAATTTGCCACGGAAAACTATTTCGTTTTCCCATCAACCAATTCCACCATGTTAAGAAACCATTTCCCACCTAACCAATTCCACCAAATCAAGATTTTCCCACCTACCCAATTCCACCAAATCAAGTGGTTAGGTGTGAAAAATGGGAATTGGTTAGGTCAGTTGTTTTCAATGGAAAATTTTTCCATCAAACAACCATAAATTATGGAAAATGGATATTTTTTCAGGTCTACTAAATTTTTATTTTTATTTATTTATTTTTTGACAATTGAAAAAAATTCTAGACACTGGTAAAATTTTTTTATCACTTTTATTGACAATTTTCATGCAAAACAAAGCCCAAAGAATTGTATTCGGTATGGTAATTTTTTATTTTTTTATTTTAGCAATTGGAACAAATTCTAAACCCAATGGTAAAAAGAATATCACTTTAATGAACAATTTTCATGAAAAATAAAGCCAAACAGATACCAAACTTTATATCAATCAAACACAATTAATTATAATTCCCAATAAAACAAATTCTAGACAATTCAATTCTCTGTAATTCATTTTATTTCCACTCAAATTCCAACTTCACAATCAAACGAACTTAATGAAAGCTATATTCTTCTTTTTCAAGAAATTTTAGGCTGATGTGCCATCGTGACGGCATGAAAATGACATCAAGTACTATACATTACACGAATTTTGCTGAAGTGCCTGGAAATTTTGACATGGGGGTTGACCGACCCACACATTTGCGCATGGTCCCGCCTGAATTAAAAAATGACAATCCTTCTATGTGTGTGTTCGGTCATCCTTACATAGTTACTCTATAAAATTAGACCAGTGTTTGGAAAGGATTAAAATTCAATTGTTATTAGATTTTAATAAAAATTAATGAAAAATCGTAGGATTCGTGAAATATGTGGTTAACATTATTTGTTAATTTTGATTTAAATTTAAATCTGATTTTTAATCAAACCAAACATGGGCAGGTGAATGAAAATGTTTTTGAAAAAATAGGTTTGACTTCAAATATGTTGGTTTTTGTTATTGGGTATTATTATAGCTCACTTTTTTTTCATAATTTTTGACATGTATATTTCTTGTATACAAAAATTCTATATTTAGCCCCGATTTGATGGAGATTAAAACTAAAATTTTAATTCAAGTTTAAGTTAAAGATTCATTTTGATCACATATTTTATAAGATCTAAAATTCTTGAATCATAAATTTCATCAACTTTTATTAAATTCTACTAAAAATCTTATTATAATCTCTAGCAAATATGGAGCTTAATAAGTTACCGATGGTAACTTACAATATAGGATAATTTATATTAAATCGTGTTACCTTGTGTAGGTTTTTGAAATTGTAACTTACTGTGTAATTGTTATTATAGTGTAATTTATATCATCATCACACTATCACT